AAATTCGTTAGTGTATGTTCTCGGAGAAGTCGGTATATCAGGGCATCAAAACATCAGTTGTATTACCTTTTCAATTTCCATGCACATGTAAAGCATCGGTCATATGTCGTGATACTTATATAGTCATATAAATCTGCAAAATATACATTAAATGTAAAATGATAAAGACCTGTACAGTAGCCTCCTTAACAGCTGATAATAGATATAATGAAAAAATATAGATGCAATAAATAAATTAGCTGTCAGCTAGTGAAAAGAAAATTCTTCATAGTGTTCTAGTAGTAATGTGTAAATTGTGATCAGTCCCAAAGAAAGACCAGCGATCAAATCAAGAAACCAGCACACAAAATTAAAGCCAATATTTTATTTGCATACTTTAAACTGTTTATGTCAAAATAATGAATACAGTGTGTACACCAACATCATGAAGGCAAAGGCTTGAGTGAAAGTTAACTGTATGGACTGCTAAAAGCCTAAGAAAACAAGATTGCTCTCCAATAACACCATGTGACACAGTGGTGACTGCAATTTGGAAACATTTACCATCTGAACAAGTCCCAGGATTCAAACAGACGAATACAATAGACCTTAAGACATCAGGCACAACTGGTTTCAGTTCACACCCTAGACACAAAAACATGATTTCATTTTATATCTTAATGTCAGTGAGTTCACCAGTTCCTGTTTACTAGTTATAAATGAAAGTGTCTGGCCGAATATCCTTGAAAAATAGGCTGTTGCGTCCTGCAAGTCTGTAGGAAGGAAACATGGTTTTTTTCTCTCAAGAATGGCCATAAGTAGCAATTCCACAAACTCTGTGAATAAATTTTACATTGAATTAGAGAAAGTTTGTAACACAATTTCAGTATATTTTGTTGTGGCAACCATAATAATATTTTTTCTTTGAAATCTGCTCTAAAAAAGTAAGTACCTTTGTCTTAACAAATGCTGAGAGGGAAAATAGACATGAGGATTAAAAACCAGTGTCTTTGCAAACAAGACTTGACTCATTAGTTAGGGAAAAACATGCAGTAATAGGAACAGTGGGGTTTTTTCAAACTGGAGTGCACCAGTTCAACAAAAAATGATTGATTGTCTGAATTATATTTACCACGTGTTGGTTTCTTGTTCACTGGCTTGGTCTCTTTGTTTAGACCTAGGGGGTAGCTGATTGCCCACTTGGGTTCTCCAATCGTGGTCACTTCTAGGGTATTTAGGCTGTTTTCATTGATGTGAAATGCTGCCATGTACATCCTAAAAAATAGCATTAAAGTGGCATTTTTACATTTGCCAAAAACAAAACCCACAAAGTAATACATTATCTGAATGAACATATATCCCTGATTTTCCCACGCACACACACAATTCACATACCATTTTAACATGGTACGGGACCAGTCCCTGGTGGATAATTATCTGATATGACTCATTTTTAATTATGTTTTAAAAATTATGTGCTCTCTCTCACCACCGCACCCATAATTTTGCACGTTCTCATTTGTCCATGCCCACCCCCATCCAAATTCCTCCGCACAGACTCACACAACACACCCGTCTCGGGAAATAGATGACTTGGCCCTACTAAGTAACAGTGGCTGTGAAAATATATCTCTGATCGACAATAGGACATGAGCGCAAATTATGACGTAGTTTTGCATCAACTATTGCTTTATATAGCTAGCTACTGGAGTGTTTATGTTGCTCCAAAACAACTTCATCTTAAAATTCACCTGCAACCAACGTCGCCTACGGAATGCAACTCTCTCGGTCTCAGTCCCAAGTTGACATTTCGCCTCTGTGTTTGTTTGGAATGTCGAAAGGAATGCCCGATATATAGCATCCTTATTAAAGTTTAAGTTTGCCTATTCGTATCCATATTTCGCCAGAGGTTAGGTCTCTTTCATAGCACTTCTTCGAAAAGTGTAACGAACAGATGACCGTGCGTAGAGGACGTCACAAAATCCGCATGATGACAGTAAACAATCTATGCCCTTCCTCTTGTCAAATAGAATATCTCAGCAAATGTACATCCGTGTTGTTTACGCAGTTGGAATATCATCAAAACTTGAAGTGCAGTTGTCAGTTTCCAATACATAATCACAACAACGCTTCATTCAAAATATTGCGCTTCGTGTCACTTTTAACTCGATGACGTATACACTACTGAAATGTCAACACACTGAGCAGACTCTCGGGTATGTTTGAATGACATTATGTAATAAAAATGCATAGTGTTTAACCTTTTTAAAAATCCTATAAACATTTATCTCTGACAGACAAATCAATACAGTCAGGCAATCGTCAAGAGCACCTGGGGCGGTGGGGTAGCCTAATGGTTAAAGCATTGGCTCGTCACGCCGAAGACCCGGGTTCGAATCCCCTCATGGGCACAATGTGTGAAGCCCATTTCTGGTGTCTCCCACCGTGATCCCGCTGGAATATTGCTAAAAGCGGCGTAAAACCAAACTCAGTCAGTCAGTCAAGAGCACCTATGTGGGTGGTAGTGTCGGCCCGGTTCTTTAACTCGACTGGTCATGCCAGTTCCTGTGCATGCTGAATATGTTTGCACGCATTGGATTTATTATTGGTCTGAGCTTTTTGCTGTTCAAATTTCAACTATCGATAATTATCAAATTGCTTCGAGTTCTATATAGTGGCATTACCTTCAAGAGGGGGTTGAAGTAACGTAAAATGATTGTCCCACTGAGACGGTATGTAATTCCAATTTTATTCATAGGTTTTATTTCATATTACGTGTTTTAATCGTAGAATAAGTGTTCTTTTAATGTGTTGGTGTTGATAAACTGTAATACAGTCGCCAGCAACTGAAGGGACGGTGTAAATCCAGTTAGAATCCATGCAGGTAGGTAGAAGAAGTACTGTAAGTTCCATGGTCCCTAGTATTGTGATCTACCTATGGCCCATTTTTATATTGCACTGTTAAAGATAGAAATAATGTCTTATGGTTATATGCTAGTTTTAAGTAGAAATCTGCGATTGACTAGTTATTTCACAAAGTATAGAGGTTTGTTTTTATTTCATTTATACATTTACAAAGTTACAAATTTCATTGTCACGAGATGGGTGAAATACTGTCGATGTGACTTGAAATTTTAACTCATTCACTCACTCCTGTTCAGTTTGCAGTGGCTCATGGGCTAATCTAGCAATATAAACCTCTGTTTTCTGTCTTTTGTCGGAAACGTGTCAAGGGCGGCATTTCTACCCCGGTTTCGACAGCTGTTCAAGTTGTTTATTTGCTGGAACATATAATCCATTTGACCCAGGTGGAGCACGTTGGTTGGGCACCACCGTCCTTGTTGACACGCCGTGGTAGAAAGAGAAAGGGATGGTGAATTTTTATCATACAACAGGTCTCTTATCATTCTCTCAGGTTCAACAAGAAGTAAACGTGGCCATTGTGTATCTACATAATCCTCTGATACTGATTACTTACCGAGATGCACCTCTTCAACAATCTGACAATCTGTTGAAATTAAAGCAGTTCGTTTCTATTCTGAGATAACCATAAATAACCATTTTTAGGCCCTATTTTGTAAATAACTCTCGAATCACTCAGGAAAATCATAATGAATGCTGTTATCATTAATAATAGTACATGCCTATCAAGAGCTTTGCATTGAAAAAGACCAATCAGGCACTTATATCTTTGCCTTTGTCTAATGCACTTACAAGTGTGCGAGTTGACATAATGTAAAGTGAACGGGAATAAACACAGCCTCCTTTAAGTTAAGTCATCTGTGTCATTTCTCAAAAAGACGCCAAACACCTGAACGTGTTAAGCAATTTTATTCTTCTGCATTCATGTACATTCTTTTAGCTTAGTTTGTGAGTGAGTGAGTGCTGCTTAAGGCCGCATCAGCACTTTTGTAGCTATTCACGGCTAAAAAAAACAAATATTTTCCTATGAAAATGAATATAACTAAAACTACACCTTAGTTTATCGTACGTCACACATATATGTCGTTTACTGATTGACTGAGCGCACTTCTTTATTTTCAGTGTACCCTGTTTACAAGCGAGTAACATTTTCTATATTACCCGCTGGGAATGCCGAACTATGGGAAATCATTTGGTACTCCGTGTTAGTAGTAATTCTCTATCTCGATTAATTGAGTCATGCATGATGTACGGAAATTACAAATGTTTTGCGAATGCAAATCGATGGAAAGGAGATAACACTAAATTTGTTTTCTTGTCTTATGTCGTTGTCAGCATTGGTTATTGCCTAACTCTGGTACTCCTTATTATGTATATGGATCGGCAAGCAAACCAAGAAGACTTAACATGTTTAGTACAAGTAATAATCGTGAAATCGTTATAACCCCTGAAGATCCGGGTTAGAATTGGTCTTCAGCAACCCCTGCTTGTCAAAAGAGGCGACTAACGGGATTGGGTGGTCCGGCTCGCTGTCTTGGTGGATACATGTCATCGTATCCGAATTGTGTAGATGCTCATGCTGTTTATCACTGAATTGTCTGGTCCAGACTCGATAATATACAGACCGCCACTGTATTGCTGGATTATTGCTGGGTTATTGCTGAGTGCGGCGTAAGACAACAAACCAACAACCCAACCAGCCATAATTTATTCAGCCTCAATGTACAAGCAAACATGTATTCAAATTCAATTCAAATCTTTATTTCTGATACTATGAGGCCACGGGCCTATGAGTACAAAAACACCTCATCGGTGCAGACATGAAATAAAATGATAACAATGAAAGCATGTATAATATATACAATCTTAATATGACAAAATTGATTTCCTTTTTTCGAATGCATAAAACAGATATTTAGCAGGTATTCAAGGAAATGTCTTCATTTTGGATGATAACAACGAATTGAATTGCGACAAAAGATATTTACGTCTTAATTCAATGTAAGCTGGACAGATAAGTAAGAAGTGATATTCATTTTCAATTACATTTAAGTTACATATTTTGCATGTTCTTTGTTCCCGGGGAATGTTATAATAACGGCCTCTTTCAATTTCTAAACTATGGGAACTTAACCTAAATCGCGATAAACATGTATTATTACTGGAGAATCAGTCTTGGGCGGACTGTAAAATAATGGCGCATTCAGTAATAGTAGTAACGCTACAATTCATAACGAAACAAATTTCAGTCTTTAAAGGAGGAAGACACTGTTTAAAATTACATTTTATGAAAAAGAAATGGTATTTTGTGATATTTTATTGATCCACTACCATGCGAGGTCTCTGATAATAGTAATTATAATCTTTGAATCACAGTCAAATGTCGAATCCAGACTTATCTCAGAGAACTTATTCCGGATAAGATTCACCCGTGAAACAATTTGCCTGTTTCATGTTTAATGATCCAAATCTAAATCCTCAAGTAATCTTATACAATCAGCGCGTTAGGGTAGCCTAAAGTACCGTCGGAAATAGAAAAAACTGTTTTAGGCTGTTACTCTGTATCCCTAAAATTTTACACAATTGCAAATAGAAGATGTCGAAATAACCCACTTCGGCCTAACTGAGTGTTCAGTGGGATGCGTAATACGATATCCAGAAAAGCATGTTTACTCGTAAAATCGGGCAAAACGTCGAAAAAAATACGAATAGCTGCTGAAAACAATAGATCAGATTATAGATGGCAATTAGGTCGCTCAGCCAGGAAATGAAGAAGGACCGTCGACTCACCTGGCATGAAATGCACGTGCTGCCTACAGGCACAAGGGGTCATCTCAAGGATATTTTGTGCTTTTCATGTGTTGACTATGTCTCATCTATTGATTAACATGTTACGTGTCTTTCTTTCATAAAAGTTTATGTTGAGATATGTAAGAGAGTATGATACCTGAAAACCATAGAAACGCATCGTAGTATATAGGTAGTATCACCACCCGAAGATCGACAGGACTGGATATTATTTGTAAATTGTTATGACGTGCCGTGTACCTCCCCAGTATATATTCGCCCTAAAGGATTTTCTCTTATCTTAGATGATATCTCTATCCCCAAGCCCGACCCCAGGTTTTGCTTTTGAGGCGACCCCTCCTATCTGTTTATTTTTATAGTGACAGTGAGACTGCATGGTAGCTACATCCTTAATAGTTTCGGCATAAAAGTTATTATTTTTTACGTCAGCTATCGTTTATAATGAATCTACTTCTAATTTCAAATTGGGTCATTTACAATCAATCAATCAATCTTTATTCAGAACTGAAGGCCACAGGCCCATAGTACAGGTATATACAAAGTTCAAAAAAGCAGAGTGGGTTTCTCTTCATTATCGCATGGTATATGAACAAAGCAATATTTTCAATCAATATATGATTAGAAGTTGACAACAGTTGGATGAATTTATGTTTTGACGGTTGTTTCGTAAAGTAACTGGGTATATATTTGCTTCTAATGTTTCTATAATAATCACAAATTAGCAGAACATTGTATTCATCTTCGAAGACATTCATTTTACAGTATCTGCACACAGTAGATTTCTTATGAAATTTTCCCTTATAACAACTTAAATCATAATAAACGGAACGAAACTGTGATAAGGCTAGTCTTACTTTCTCTTGATACTGATACAACGTACATATGGTTCACACAAGAAGTCTTCTTTTAACAGGGAATAAGTAAATGTACAGGGACTATTTTGGAGTTTTGCATGCCACTCCTGTATAAAGCAATCTTTGCCTCTTACAAGTAAATTTAAGAATTGGTGCTTATTTCCAACTCCCTGCCATATCCAAGCATAACCTAGTCCAAATCTAAATACAACTGTTTTTACATGTGTAGCCCAATTAAACCTATTACGCTCAGCGCTTGCGTTTAAATCTAAATTACATAACATTTTGTAAGCTTTTAATGGGTAGCGTGAAGAGGGCATGGAGAGGAGCTTTAGCCAGTAAGCAATACAGCGTTTTAGAGTGTACCCATGAATAGGATATCTACCAGTTTCTCCAAGGACAATTGTATTTGGTGTAGACATTTGCACACCAAGGAATCGTTTACATGCATAAAGCAATACCTTTTCCAGACAATCATGTTTGTGAAAGCCCCATAATTCTGACCCATACAATAATATGGGTAGTATCTTACAGTCGAATATTTTGAAATAGACATCATATGACAAGTCTCTAAAGCTACAAAGGCATTTTGTAATAGACACTAAAGCTTTCTTTGCCTTAAGTGAAATGTTTTTGGCAGAGAGGGACCAATTTAGAGTTCTATTAAATGATACCCAAGGTACTGGTACGATGTAACAACTTCAAGCATAGCTGATTTATATGTCCATTTTTCTGATTTTGATAGTTTAGGTCCTTTTTTAAAAATCATAATTTTAGTTTTATCAAGGTTAACATTTAAGGACCATTTATTACAGTAGGTTTCTAAAGCATTAATTTGCCTCTGTAGACCAATTACTGCCTCTCAGAAAAACACCACATCATCGGCAAACGTCAAAATAAATATTTCAATAAGATCTGGATATAATTGGACGCCAGTGGAACATGAATGGTTAATCTCAGACACTAGATCGTTGATAAAAAACGAAAATAGGAAAGGGCTTAGGACACAACCTTGCCTAACACCAACAGGACAGTCAAATACGTCTGTAAGAACATTGTTATTTGTGCGGACACAGGCTTTAACATTTTCATAAATACTTTTTAATGTTTTATCCATTTTGAATGGAGACCGTGTTTATTAAAGACATACCATAATTTGTAGTCTCTGTACTGAATCAAATGCCTTGGAAAATCCACAAAACATGCATACAGTTACACCTTTCTTAGAAACATATTTACAAATTACTGATTGGAGAACAAATATATTATCTGTGGTAGTATACCCTGCTCTAAAACCTGCTTGTTCTTCATTTATCATATCCAAACTGTCTGACCAGAATACCAGGCGGTTATTTAAAATGTTTGTATAAATTTTACCAAAAAATGGATTATTGCTGGGTTATTGCTGAGTGCGGCGTAAGACAACAAACCAACAACCCAACCAGCCATAATTTATTCAGCCTCAATGTACAAGCAAACATGTATTCAAATTCAATTCAAATCTTTATTTCTGATACTATGAGGCCACGGGCCTATGAGTACAAAAACACCTCATCGGTGCAGACATGAAATAAAATGATAACAATGAAAGCATGTATAATATATACAATCTTAATATGACAAAATTGATTTCCTTTTTTCGAATGCATAAAACAGATATTTAGCAGTCTTCATTTTTGGATGATAACAACGAATTGAATTGCGACAAAAGATATTTACGTCTTAATTCAATGTAAGCTGGACAGATAAGTAAGAAGTGATATTCATTTTCAATTACATTTAAGTTACATATTTTGCATGTTCTTTGTTCCCGGGGAATGTTATAATAACGGCCTCTTTCAATTTCTAAACTATGGGAACTTAACCTAAATCGCGATAAACATGTATTATTACTGGAGAATCAGTCTTGGGCGGACTGTAAATAATGGCGCATTCAGTAATAGTAGTAACGCTACAATTCATAACGAAACAAATTTCAGTCTTTAAAGGAGGAAGACACTGTTTAAAATTACATTTTATGAAAAAAGAAATGGTATTTTGTGATATTTTATTGATCCACTACCATGCGAGGTCTCTGATAATAGTAATTATAATCTTTGAATCACAGTCAAATGTCGAATCCAGACTTATCTCAGAGAACTTATTCCGGATAAGATTCACCCGTGAAACAATTTGCCTGTTTCATGTTTAATGATCCAAATCTAAATCCTCAAGTAATCTTATACAATAAGCGCGTTAGGGTAGCCTAAAGTACCGTCGGAAATAGAAAAAAAACTGTTTTTAGGCTGTTACTCTGTATCCCTAAAATTTACACAATTGCAAATAGAAGATGTCGAAATAACCCACTTCGGCCTAACTGAGTGTTCAGTGGGATGCGTAATACGATATCCAGAAAAGCATGTTTACTCGTAAAATCGGGCAAAACGTCGAAAAAATACGAATAGCTGCTGAAAACAATAGATCAGACTATAGATGGCAATTAGGTCGCTCAGCCAGGTATGAAGAAGGACCGTCGACTCACCTGGCATGAAATGCACGTGCTGCCTACAGGCACAAGGGGTCATCTCAAGGATATTTTATGCTTTTTCATGTGTTGACTATGTCTCATCTATTGATTAACATGTTACGTGTCTTTCTTTCATAAAGTTTATGTTGAGATATGTAAGAGAGTATGATACCTGAAAACCATAGAAACGCATCGTAGTATATAGGTAGTATCACCACCCGAAGATCGACAGGACTGGATATTATTTGTAAATTGTTATGACGTGCCGTGTACCTCCCCAGTATAATTGCCCTAAAGGATTTTCTTATCTTAGATGATATCTCTATCCCCAAGCCCGACCCCAGGTTTTGCTTTTGAGGCGACCCCTCCTATCTGTTTACTTTTATAGTGACAGTGAGACTGCATGGTAGCTACATCCTTAATAGTTTCGGCATAAAAGTTATTATTTTTTACGTCAGCTATCGTTTATAATGAATCTACTTCTAATTTCAAATTGGGCATTTACAATCAATCAATCAATCTTTATTCAGAACTGAAGGCCACAGGCCCATAGTACAGGTATATACAAAGTTCAAAAGCAGAGTGGGTTTCTCTTCATTATCGCATGGTATATGAACAAAGCAATATTTTCAATCAATATACGATTAGAAGTTGACAACAGTTGGATGAATTTATGTTTTGACGGTTGTTTCGTAAAGTAACTGGGTATATATTTGCTTCTAATGTTTCTATAATAATCACAAATTAGCAGAACATGGTATTCATCTTCCAAGACATTCATTTTACAGTATCTGCACACAGTAGATTTCTTATGAAATTTTCCCTTATAACAACTTAAATCATAATAAACGGAACGAAACTGTGATAAGGCTAGTCTTACTTTCTTGATACTGATACAACGTACATATGGTTCACACAAGAAGTCTTCTTTTAACAGGGAATAAGTAAATGTACAGGGACTATTTTGGAGTTTTGCATGCCACTCCTGTATAAAGCAATCTTTGCTTCTTCTTACAAGTAAATTTAAGAATTGGTGCTTATTTCCAACTCCCTGCCATATCCACGCATAACCTAGTCCAAATCTAAATAAAACTGTTTTTACATGTGTAGCCCAATTAAAACCTATTACGCTCAGCGCTTGCGTTTAAATCTAGATTACATAACATTTTGTAAGCTTTTAATGGGTAGCGTGAAGAGGGCATGGAGAGGAGCTTTAGCCAGTAAGCAATACAGCGTTTTAGAGTGTACACATGAATAGGATATCTACCAGTTTCTCCAAGGACAATTGTATTTGGTGTAGACATTTGCACACCAAGGAATCGTTTACATGCATAAAGCAATACCCTTTCCAGACAATCATGTTTGTGAAAGCCCCATAATTCTGACCCATACAATAATATGGGTAGTATCTTACAGTCGAATATTTTGAAATAGACATCATATGACAAGTCTTTAAAGCTACAAAGGCATTTTGTAATAGACACTAAAGCTTTCTTTGCCTTAAGTGAAATGTTTTGGCAGAGAGGGACCAATTTAGAGTTCTATTAAATGATACTCCAAGGTACTGGTACGATGTAACAACTTCAAGCATAGCTGATTTATATGTCCATTTTTCTGATTTTGATAGTTTAGGTCCTTTTTAAAAATCATAATTTTAGTTTTATCAAGGTTAACATTTAAGGACCATTTATTACAGTAGGTTTCTAAAGCATTAATTTGCCTCTGTAGACCAATTACTGACTCTGAGAAAAACACCACATCATCGGCAAACATCAAAATAAATATTTCAATAAGATCTGGATATAATTGGACGCCAGTGGAACATGAATGGTTAATCTCAGACACTAGATCGTTGATAAAAAACGAAAATAGGAAAGGGCTTAGGACACAACCTTGCCTAACACCAACAGGACAGTCAAATACGTCTGTAAGAACATTGTTATTTGTGCGGACACAGGCTTTAACATTTTCATAAATACTTTTTAATGTTTTATCCATTTTTGAATGGAGACCGTGTTTATTAAAGACATACCATAATTTGTGTCTCTGTACTGAATCAAATGCCTTGGAAAAATCTACAAAACATGCATACAGTTTGCCACCTTTCTTAGAAACATATTTACAAATTACTGATTGGAGAACAAATATATTATCTGTGGTAGTATACCCTGCTCTAAAACCTGCTTGTTCTTCATTTATCATATCCAAACTGTCTGACCAGAATACCAGGCGGTTATTTAAAATGTTTGTATAAATTTTACCAAAAATACTTAAAAGGGAAATGGCGCGATAATTTTCCGGATTGTTTATATCGCCTTTTTTATGTATTGGCACAATTATTGGTTTTTGCCCATTTTATAGGGAATGATCCATTATCAAACAATGTGTTAAATATGATTTCGAGGTAAGGTATGATGATATGACAAGACGACTTAAAGAACTCGCAAATTACGAGGTCTTCCCCAGCAGTTTTATTATATTTAAGTTTGTTAATACTTGACTGGATTTCCTCCCGGCTAATGGGTGCACTGAATATATCGTTAGTTATGTCATGTGCCTGCCTTTCAGGTATAAATATGCTGTCACCATCATCTACCAAATCACTGGGAGTCACACTGGAGTCCCAATCAAAGAGATTCTTAAAGTAGTCGTGCCATGAATTTACTGTGATGTTATTTTCAATTTTTTGCGAACAAGAGATGTACTTTAGCTTTCGCCAAAATAATTGGGGATTTGTAATTGAGTCCGAAAGCTCACTCATATTTCTGTTTTCAAATTTACGCTTCGCATCTCTACACGCAGTTTTGTAGATATTTCTTGACGAAATATATAAATCCCGAGAAAGCATTTAAAAAGTGTCTTTTGTAATACAATATCGTCGCACACTAATTTGCATAAAGCCATGGTCTCTTCCAAATAAGTCTTTTTGGACTTAAAAAAAAAAACGCATTGCTCATTTCTGCACTGATTTCCCCTCAGTAAAGTCCTTTTTCTCCGTTTCCTATCTCTCTACCACTGAGACTGTAGTCAGGCCGAACTTAGTTTAACAGATATTTCACACTTTCACATATCAACTACATAAATTGTAGAGATAAATGAGAAAATACAGTTTTTTTTCTATTTTCGACAGTGCTGTAGTTGTTAAGGCCTTTGACCGTCACGCTGAAGACCCGGGTTCGATTCCCCACATGGGCACAATGTGTGAAGCCCATTTCTGGTGTTCCCCGCCGTGATATTGCTGGAATATTGGTAAAAGCGGCGTAAAACTAAACTCGCTCACTCACTTATACAATCATCAACGATTATGAATATTGTTCAGCTTCTGTCATATTGTACTCATTCAAAAGAGTAATAATAATAGCATAATTAAAATGCGCTATTTTATTATTCCAAATTTTAAATACTCTTAAAAAATACCATATCTGTGATACCCTAGTTGCTTTACTGTCCTTTGTCGGTAGGTTTTTATACTATCTGTATATATTATATTTTAATGTCAAGTGTTCTCGTCACGATATGGCTGAAATATTGCCGATGTGACGTTAAATAATAACTCACTCACTCACTCACTCACTTGAAAAATACCATCGGTGCTAAGTCAAACGTAGGGTGAAAACATGTGTGCTGTTTAATCGGCAATCATCCTGTGTGACAAAACAACAAGATACACATATGTATCAACTCGAAATTTTATTTTCACTTTTTGATTTAGATTAGAAACAATGAAGCTGCAAGGTGATTTCACTCAATATTACCTAATTATTATACTGAAGGCTCTGGTTTGATTCCTTTCATGGTTGGGGCTATTGGGGTAGTCGAGTGGTTAAAGTGTTCGCTCGTCACGCTGAAGACTCGGGTTTCATTCCCCACATGGGTACAATGTGTGAAGGCCATTTTACGTGTCCCCTGCCGAGTGGAATATTGCTAAAAGCGGAGTAAAACCATACTCACTCAATCAATCAAAGGTCGGTTTATGCATTGGGTACTGGTGCATACTCAGTACTGAAATAAAGAATTTTTTAGAAAATCTAAATATTCCATTTGAAAGTTTTCAAAACAATTTGCACAATATAAAGCTGCTGGTAAATGCCAATTGTTACAAATCACTACAGTACAACATTTAAAAGATGTTTGGTGTAGACCCCTGAAGATCCGGGTTACAGTTGATCTTCAGTAACCCTTGCTTGTCGTTCGAAGCGACTAACGGGATCGTGTGATCAGCCCGCGCTGACTTGATCGACACATGTCATCGTATCTCAATTGCGAGATAGATGCTTATGCTGTTGATCACTGGATTGTCAGGTCCCGACTCGATTGTTTACAGCCCGTCGCCATATAGCTAGAATATTGCTGAGTGCGGCGTAAAACTAAACTCACTCACCACATTAAAACTCCATCCATAGTTCAATGCATCTGTTTAACAATACAGCAGCTTCCACGACTTCCACCCATTCTGTGACGTCACTGTAAACGTCGAGGACGTCCTGTTGAAGAGTTCACAGATACCCTGACCTTTATTGTGGCTGAACATCCCGCAGTCAATGTGTTGAAAGCATGCGACGCTGCACTGAATGAGGTGGACCTTCTTTTGGATGATTAAACCATCCTTCCACTTGACAAGGCCCACTTCTGGCTTAAACCTTCCCCTCTCCTGCGCACCTTCAATTAAGATAGAAAAAGATTATTGATAATCATAGTGATAAAAAAGGACCAATTTCACACATTTCGACTTCATGTTGGCCTATATTGTACATATCGAGCATATGCACTCACTTTAGCTTCCTATTGATGTAATATAATAATAATTAGGGACTGTTGATAATTTATGGCTAGGAAGGGTGATGATGATTTTAAAGGGGGTCAACCAAGTCAGCAAGCCTGACCACCCGATCCCGTTAGTCGCCTCTTACAACAAGCATAGTCGCCTTTAGTGGCAAGCATGGGTTGTTTAAGATCAATTCTACCCCGGATCTTCAAGGGTCTTCTTTTTTGTGAAACACCTCTACCAAGAGCTCAACTGATGTTCCGAAATGACGAAAACTGTACACATTTTATACAATATATAGTGATACACATTTCACAGGTATGTGAAGCATTTTGCCGTTTCATCGTTACCGAGCCGGATTCTGTAAGGCTTGTTGTTATAACTTGTTTGTCCCACGTTTAGAATTGAGACATTGCCTGTCATATCTTCTTCGTCAAAGATGATATCCCAGCCAAGTATGTTTCCTTTTCCAACCGCGATACGACCATAGCCCCATCGTACCCAAAACCACCTGTCACAAAGAGGGAACATAGATTAAGTTTAACCCTTTCAGTTTTCAGTTTGTGCGTATTCTTGGTTATTCTTGACATCAATGTATGCAAAATATACCTGTGTTAGGATGTCTATCCATATTATTATTTTGCGAACAAAACATATATACTGATTGTTAAAAGTTGAACAACACCTGTATTTTGAGTGAAATATGTAGCTAATGGTGAATTGCAGAACCGCGATCCTGTGATAATATACTAGCACTACCCATGCCGTGCTACGAGGCGTGCACGAAATTCAGACTCTTACACGTGCATATGCAACGTGTGGCCCCAACGTCGGTCACATTCAAATCCACTTTGATGTTAGCATTGTATGAGTCGTAGTTTGGGATACAAAAATGGGTCGAACTCGTGTGACCATGACTGTACGATTGCACTGTGTTGGTATGCGTAACGCTGGCATGTCCCTGCGTCAAACTGCCGTTGGTGTTAACCTTCCTTACAGCGGTATCAGCAGGCTGATTTCTAAGCACAGGCCTACTTGTGAGGTTGAAGGACCAAGAACTGTTTGTCCAAGGTGTACGTCACGTAGAGACCATTACCTGTTGGCAATGGCTCGTCAATCAGATACGCAAACAGTGGCAGCGGGTATTTGGGACAGACGGCTGATCCTACGTGGGTGGAAGGTCAGACTACCTCACAAGCGTCCACGTTTACTCACCCAGTATATCCAAGACTGGGCCCATCAACGTCGACGTTGGAATTGAAGAACATGACGTATCGTCATATGGACGGATGTTTTTGGCTGACGGTCGTTTGCGTGTCAGAATGAACCTCAGGTGTGTTCTTCCTACTGTACCAGGTGGTGGTTTGTTTGTCTGTTGTTTAACGCTGCACTCGGCAATATTCCAGCTATGTAAATATTCGAGATTGGACCAGACATTCCAGTGATCAACAGCATGATCATCGATCTTCACAATTGGGATACGATGACATGTGGCAACCAAGTCAGCGAGCTTGACCACCCGATCCCGTGAGACGCCTCCTACGACAAGGAGGTCACTGAAGATCAATTCTAACACGGATCTTTACAGGTTCAGGCAGGGTTCACATCTGACATCAATGTTGTTCCAGGATCCATAAACGTACCTCCATGACGTCATCGACAACACGCCCTTCATCCCTGCCCATCCAGAAACACACTTCATTTAGCAGGATGGTAAAGGGGGGCAATATGGCACTGAGTATCTTGAATGGCCAAGCAAGAATCAGGACCACGCCGTGCACATATTGTGCAGGGGGCAATATGGCACTGAATCTCTTGAATGGCCAAGCAAGAGTCAGGACCACGCCGTGCACATATTGTGCAGGTGACAATATGGCACTGAATCTCTTGAATGGCCAAGCAAGTGTCAGGACCTAAACCCTACTGACGTTTACAGACGTGACAATCCTGCTTAAGAGACGCTGCAGTGTGTGACAGGAAAATTGGTGAAATTGGGTTTAACGTCGTGCTTGAGAATATTTCGCTCATATGACGATGTGTGTGACAGGAACAATTTGCTAATACGTTTTCTGAAAAGGTTGGTTATGTCAATGTCAAAAAGCTGTGAGGTTGTAATGAAGATTACACTCAATATTAACTAGGGGCGGTGGGGTAGCCTAGTTGTTAAAGCGTCCGCTCGTCATGCCGAAGACCCGGGTTCGAATCCCCACATTGGTACCACGGGTGAAGCCCATTTCTGGTGTCCCCCGCCGTGATATTGTTGGGATATTACTAAACGCGGCGTAAAACCATACTCACTCACTCACTCAATATTAACTGTTTCGGGTTTTGTTTTAGGAAAGCCGACGAATCAAACTTTGATTCTGTTTCATTTTTCACTTGGTATTTTTCAACTTTTGATCACAATCATTCAAAACATTTTTTTATTTCTTATACATTTCGTTCTGCTCTGTACTGTAACGTTATCGTTACCGTTACCGTTATCGTTACCGTTATCGTTAGTAAATATGTTGCCTCTTGAGACAACTTAATGTTTTCATGATGCGTCTTTGCTAACAACCCATGCAAATTGCCTCCAGCGTCTACCGACTGCTTCTATCACACTCTACGGTGTCATGTGAGGTCCGAATCTAAATGTTGATTAACTTTTTACCATCAGTATGTTTACTAGACGTCACAACTACATTCAATATGTAATCAAAGTGAGCGATGTTTTGTATACCTACCTGTATTGGCTACAGTGCAGGATGTTCGGAGTATACTTTTTATTTAACTTCCTCTCTGGATTCTTAAACATGAACATTGAGTGAGTATTTCCCCATCCTCCGATATTACATTCAGCCAGGGCTTTTCCATTTTTGTCTTGAAGTGTCATTCCGTGATCCATACAACCTTTCACCTGATACACCAAGCTGTTGCAATACTGGAGGCCAACACCAAACCTTGATAAGTTTATCGTCAAGTGGTTAGTACCTGGAGTAAATTGTTCGAGTGGAAAACCTGGAAAACAAAGAAAAGCGATTATGTTAATGTTAATGCGTTGATTCAACCTAAAACTGGGCCCTCTTCTTCACTTAGATAAGAAAAAGGTATTATTTGGATACCCTTAGAAAAGAAATGCTCAATCGCATCATAATTGTCACAAAATACAATATTTTCAAATCAAGACTAGCAAATAGACATCCAAATATTTCACATAATAAGAGGTCGAAATTTCATATCATTTAAATAATTACAACTCGAAGATAAATTGTAGTGTACCATCATTTCTACAATTTTGGTCTTCAAGCCATACGCGTTTTAGTTCAAGTGCTGGTGAGTGCTGGTAAACAGCTCTTCCCCCGTGTTGATCCGGGGCAGAATAGGTCCACAGCACCCCACTGCTGGTCGTAAAAGGCGACAAAATTGGGCAACCTGTTTACCGTGGGTTGCGCCCCTGTGTCGGTGGAGGAAGGGATTTTGGAGGTCGAGGGCAATAGGAGCGTAGTGTAGTGCAATAGTGTGTTCCTTTTGTGCATCACACCACTTCGACCCTGACTTCACCAAGACGGATGATAGAATGGGCCCGTTTCTATCAATCGGCTTGTCATGCCAAGCCCTGTGCATTTTATTGTTGCACAAATTGTTAAACTACTGAAATATTTTTGTCAGTGGTCTTGACCGAGTAACATTTCTCTTGAATTTCGAAATATATACTTTCTATTTTGTAATTTGCCTAGAATCAAATGACCAGAAGGCGGTGGCTCATGGGCCAATCTGGTCGAAAAAAATTGATCTTTTAGCTTTTCAAATGAGTATATCATCCGAATGGCAACTGAATCATTTGTTGGCATCCCTGTGTCGGTTTCATCACACAGAACACTAAACACCAGTGAAGGAATTGTGCGACCCCATGAGCAGTTCTTTTTTGACATGACGGAACTCATATTGTGTCAGAGATGAAGGATCAAGGCGTCACTTATGTTTAACGTTTCGTTTAGAAACAACGAAACCCTTCAAACAAATACGTATTTGTTTTAATTTTCATTCCCGACAAAAGCTGGCTACTGTAACATCAGCGTGGATACCTATATTCCAAACCCCTTAAGATGCTATAAATGACAAAAGTACTGACATCGTCTGTTACGTGTGCTCACTGTGGTGAGATGACACACACGACGGATGATTGTAACAAGAATTTCAAGAAATGCACCAACTGTGAAGGAAGTGACTCGTCTTTCTCAAACAGCAAATGGAAATTAACAAAAAAGAATTCATCCAAAACAGTAGTTTTGTAAATGAAAAAAAACTAGTCCAAAAATCTGAACATACAGCAAACATATGCATGACATTATCCACAGCGCCGTGACACTCAAATAAATATCCAAGCAGTTGCAGTTCCACTTACTTTGAACGTTTCACTTACCCTGGGGGGAAATTCTGGAGGATTTTACTTCAAATAATAACTTCTGTATATATATTGATAGTACAAATGCATGTTTACATCCTGGCACAGGAACACATTCAGCTCTTGATTTGTCAATTACTGACTCCTGCTTAGGAAATGAATTTGAGTGACCAGTCCATAATGGTCTCTGTGCAAGTGACCATTTTCCTGCAATACTAAAACCTGAAACCCATCTGATTTCCTCCATCATCAAGATGAAATTTTTAAAAGACTGACTGGCCAAAATTAAACTTGAACTTTTTACTGATATCCCTGATGCTATCAAATGTTCAGGGTTTTTTTTCTGATGAACTGAGTACCATAGCTGGCGAGTGTATTGCAAAGTACTCTGCAAATCCACATATTCGAAACAAAGGTTCAACGATGAGTGAAAACAAGCCAGGAAGGCAGGGACAAAGGCAGAATTGTATTTCCATCGTCATCCTATGGTCCATAATTTAAACAAGTTAAAAATCTTAAATGCTAAAGCATTGCGTACATTTAAACAGCATAAACGCCAATCTTGGTAAAATCATATATCCAAAATAAATTATCGAATGCCCATGTCCAAGGGTACTAAATCTAGCGTCCACATAATCAACTCCTGAAGCACTTATCTAAAGCCTGTATAGACAAATATTCTTAAATATTTTTTATGACATTTGGACGACGGGGAAATTTCCTTCGTTGTGACGGTATAATAGTCCCAATACCTAAACCTGGACGTGATCAGACGGATCCGTCAAATTATCCACCTATTTCACTGACACTTACTAACTGACCTTGCAAAGCCATGGAAATTGATCACTTAGTGCGTTTAGAAATATGTCAAAAACGCTGTAATAAATAATCGACATGCTTCTGTTTCGATCTTGAAACTACATGGAAATACGACCTTTTAAGAGATTTACATGACTTCAGCCTCAATTAATATCCAGGTTTTTATATCACAGGCAATTTCAAGTCCGCGAGGGTTCTACCCTGTCTGATCATTACAGTCAAGATCAGGGTGCCCGACAAGGCAGTATTTTGTCTGTCACATTGTTCATAACTTCTTTTCTCTTATTTTTGCCAGCTAAACCTCTGCAATTTGATAAAATCGTTTGAATTTTCTTAGTCTTGGTGGGGCGGTGGGGTAGCCTAATGGTTAAAGCGTTGGCTCGTCACGCCGAAGACCCGGGTTCGAATCCCCACATGGGTACAATGTGTGAAGCCCATTTCTGGTGTCCCCCGACGTGATGTTGCTGGAATATTGCTAAAAGCGGCCTAAAACCAAATTAAGTCAGTCAGCTTAGTCTTGGTCATTTCAAATGGCGATTTTGTTACGGAAACAAGATAGATAAGATAGAAATATATACTGATAAATGGCATGGTAGTTTTGGAATTGAATGCAATAGGTTTTAGGAGTGTGGCATATAAAACATGAGAAGTCAATATGGTAAATGTAGTGTCTAACAAGCGTAACATATGGGAACATTTTTGTATTACAAAATAAGAACAGAAGAAACACACACACACAAATGTAGAAACAAAGAAATAGATGAAGTTATCCCCTCTCCTTCCCAAACGACTCATTGATAAAATTAATCAGAGGCCAAGAGTAAAAAAACATATCTAATATATGAAAAGAAAAAACAATGCATGTATATGGGACGAACTTTCATAGCATGTACGAAAAGATCGTAGGTCCATTTGTTATGAGTACGCCTTGTGTACTATTCATACCGATTGCTAGGGCT